GGGTTAAGATCCCCTTACGGGTCATCTTTTTAAAAAAAAAAAAAAAAGAGTTGTTTGCATCCAAAGGACGCAGAAGCCAGCTTGATGGGTTGGTCAGAGGTAGAAAGTTTAAGTAGAAAAAGAATAATGACTCTATTTCCAGCGAAAGTTACACTAGGATCTAAGCATATTTTTATTGAACAAACGAATGAAGGAATGAATAAAGGGCGGGACATCAGGGTGTATCTGGGAGGGGAAGGGGGGTCTGATTGTATCAGACATTGCATTTAAATACAGGGCCTTTCACCAAGCAGATACACTAAAGAAACTGCATTTCCAGAGGGAGACAAGCAGGATTGGAAATGGGCACTCCATGGGGATTCACAACAGGTAAGCAAGGGGAGGCCAAAGGAGGTATGGAGTGGGGGCGCCAGAATGTGGGGCTTAAATTGTCAAAGAGGATTCAAAGAACCAAAAAAGCAGGATTAAAGGATGCAAATCACTTAACTCCATTCACATTGGAGGGAGATGAGAGAGAGTTGTAGGTTGAGGTCAGAAGGAAGATCAGAAGGTCTGATTGTCTCATGAAAATCAAGGAGTGAATTTAAGACTCTCGTTACTGAGGGTAGGTGTCTGTTCTACAGGGCTCCCAAACTTTCCCAATCTGTACAAGCCTGGCTTTTGCAAATCTTCGTTAGAATATAAGCTCCATCATGGCAACTATTTTTGTGTGCCTTGTTCATTGCAGAATCAGCAGACATACCTAAGTGCCCACTCGTGGAAGGGAAACAGTTAAAAACTTGTATTTGCTGAGTAAATGCAGTGCTCCTGATGGCAATTCTGTCTTATGCCTTCTAAAGCCATGATCAAGGAAAATACTCTAGTCTGGTTGAATCTCTTGCTTCTTTATTTGTTTATTTATTTTTATTTTTAAAAGATGATCAGTAAGGCGATCTTAACCCTTGGCTTGGTGTTGTCAGCACCACGCTCTCCCAAGTGAGCCAGGGGCCATCCCTATATGGGATCCGAACCCGTGGCCTTGGTGTTATCAGCACTACACTCTCCCTAGTGAGCCAAGGGCCTGCCCTCTTGCTTCTTTAATATGCTAATTTAAGCTGCAGACTCTCAATGCTCTTCCTGGGAAAGTGGGCAGGGGTTTAAATTGTGTTTATAGGAGTCAATAAGACCTGCTTCATTCCTAGTTTTGCTACTCCTCCAGCTGCCTGAACCTTAAGACCTTATATCTTTTCATGTATAAGAGGTTGATAACAATTGTACTCTAGCCTACATGTTCGTTGAGGACCAAATGAATAATGCACTTGGGTGTCTGACACATGGAAAGCATCTCCAAATGTTTTTTTTTTGGTGGCTGGCTGGTACAGGGATCCAAACCCAGATGCTATTTTATATTCTATTATTATTATATAGTACCATATTCTAACATTGCTATTGTCATTACTGCACCATTTTATTACTACATTTATGCCAAGGATTGTATTGAGACAGATGCTTTAAGTTTAGCTTCTTTTCAACTAAGAGCCAGGCCCTGGCTCATCCCCTGTTACCACTTTTTAAAACTGTTTTGGTTTCAAAAACTCTTTACATTCTTAAAAATATTGAGGTCCCCAAAGAACTTTTGTTTCTGTAGATTATATCTATAGATATTTACCACCTCCAAAACTAAAATTGAAGCTGGCTGGTTAGCTCGGTTGGTTAGAGCACAGCCTTGTAACACCAAGGTCACAGGTTCAGATCCCTGTACCAGCCAATCACCAAAAAAAAATTTTTTTTAATTGAGAAATTAAAATATATTTATTAATTCATTTCAAAATAAAATGATAAATGCATTACATGTTAACTATATTTTCCACACACAGTAAAATAGTGAAAAAAATAGTGAGATGATTGTTTTACATTTTAGTAAACTTTGGCTTAATAGAAGACAGCAGAATTCTCTCTGCTTTTGAATTCATCTTTTGTGATGTACTATTTTTGTTGACGTGTAAGAAGGAAATGTGACCTTAGGCAGATAAAGGCAGATATGGTGTTAGAGGAGGAAGTATCCTAATAGCCTTTGAGATACCTGCATGTTTTTTTAAAACTATGACACAAACTCAACAAGTGGTAGTTTCTTTTTTTTTTTTTTTTTTAAAGATGACGGGTAAGGGGATCTTAACCCTTGACTTGGTGTTGTCAGCACCATGCTCAGCCAGTGAGCGAACCGGCCATCCCTATATGGGATCCGAAACCGGGGCCTTGGTGTTATCAGCACCGCACTCTACCGAGTGAGCCACGGGCTGGCCCCAAGTGGTAGTTTCTTAAAGATAGTTGCAATGTGAAATTTGAAATTACATCAATGAAATTTTCATATTCTGTCAGATTAAAATCCATTGGTCTACCCTGAACTTTGGAGTGGTTCTTTTACAACCATGCATAATTTTGTAACATCACAAACAAAATATTGCAAAATATTGGTTTACTGAGTTATGAAGCTCTTCTAGATGTATTCCACTATACATTTGTGATACTCGTAGGATAGGAAGAGAGTAAAAAAGTAAAATAACATCTTAATATTATTATGAAAATATCTTTGACCTTAGGAATCCCCTGAAAAGATCTCCAGAGAACACTTTGACAACTGTTGCCTTAGGTCATGATAACTTTCATAGTAATTAGTAATTGCCTCCCCCACTCACCCCCAAACTCTTTCCAAGCAGAAGCAAAAATCTATATTCCCCTTCCACCTACACATCACCTCCTCATAGCCAATTGTTTCCAAAGGTGAAATAAAGGGACAGTGAAGTAGGAGCAGAAAAAAAAAAGGGGGGGGGGAATTGTAATTGCTTTTAGAAGGCAAAGTACTCGGTACTAAGAAAGAGCTAAGCTAACAATGTGAGGTAGTTTGGGAAGAGCAGGATGGCTTCCACCAGTTAGTGTTGTTTAAACTGAGAAGTGACAGGTGAGTAGGTGTCCACTAGGTATTAAGTGGGAGATAATGGTGGGAAGAGCATGTGCAAATACCTGGAAACAGGAGGATCATGACTTGTTCAAAGAATGAAGTCCAGTGTGGCCAGAACACAGAACCAAGGAGAAGAGGGGAGAGTTCAGCAGGTGCCCGACATTTGCGGGGCCAAGTCAGACGACAAATGGAGGCCCACATACCATATATCTATTTAAAAGTTGTAAATCAAGCCAGCAAACTGTTCAGTAAAATATGTTCTCCCTGTCCATCTTGACAAATGTATATTCCTGGAAGTCGAGATTCATAGTTTGAATTCTTGGTTTCCTTGAAATTCTATACAAGCACGTGGCGATGGAGGAAGAGCTGACCCCAGCCCCTGCACCCTTGTCCTTCCTGTATGCACAAGATCCAGGCTCTATTGACAGCCCTTGACCAACAGTCGCCCCTTGGGCCATGGAGTCCCCTCAGGAGGACGAATTCAGGGAAGATGCTGTGCAGGCTCAGGGCCATTTGGCAAAAAAAAAAAAAAAAAAATCCTGTAGCCCCTGATACATGGATCAAAAAAAAAAAAAAAAAAAAAAAAAAAAAATCCTGTAGCCCCTGATACATGGATCATGACTTAGAAGAGGGCAAGTATTCCAGGTCATAACACGCTTGTCCTGCAAATTTTATGCCCATTGCAAAGGGGCACATACAGAGAGCCAGAAAGAGGCCCTTTTAAAGCCTTGCTACTTGTCTTATTTGCAGACCATTAATATCAGCACCACTGGGGAGCTTGTTAGAAATGCAGGATCTAAAGCCCTATCACAGACTTCCTGAACCAGAACCTATATTTTATCAAGATTCTTAGGTGATTTTTATACCTATGAAAATTTGAGAGACATAGAACTCAATGAAGGGACTCAAGGCAAGGGCCACTTTTGCTCAGGTCAAAGAAGAGCACGGCCTGTTTCTATAAGACACCCTAGGCCAGGGTCAGTGAGGAGTTATGGAAGGGTCTGAGCGGTACAGTCACACGGTCTGAGTTACTTTTCCAAATAACAGTAGATCCCGTCCCTTGAGTATTACAATGCATCAGACTTTGTGTTACAGAGAGGTGCTCGGTGGATCCCCATTCTCCTGGTTTTGATAGTACTACAGTTATACGAGATTAGGGGAGGCTGGGAGAAGGACGCACAGGAACTCCCTGTACATGGCTTTTTATTTTTGCAACTTCCTGTGAATCTAATTATTTCAAAATTAAAAGTAAACAAAACCAAACCACTAGACTTGTGATAATTTTTACTTTCAATATTCATATATATTTCAAATAAAAAGAGAAATTAGTCTATTAGCCAGGTACTTACCATATTTCTGGCTTTTCCTTAATTTCTAAAGTTCCAATTTTCCTTCATATCATTTTTCTTCAACTTGAAGAACTTCGTTTAACGTTCTGTAGAACTCTGGACGACTGGCCATGGATCCTCTTAGTTCCTCTGAGAAGTCTTTATTTCAACTTTATCATTGAAAAACATTTTACCTGAATACAGAATTCTCAGTTGACCGTTCTTTTCTTTCACCACTTCAAAGATTTTGTTCCACTGTCTTTATTTTTTATTTTTTGGGGTTTTTTGATGCTTTTGTTTTGTTTTCGTTGTTGTTGTTGTTATTGGGTTTTTTTTTGTTGTTGTTCCACTGTCTTTTTTTTCTGCTTCTGATGAAAAATCCATGGTCATTTGACCTGGTCTAATTTATCCAGCTTTTCATGTATAGATTATATTTCAACAATCTCTTTAAAGGAATATTCCCCTATTCTGAGTCACAAAGATACTGACACACGATTTCTTCTGATATTTCCAAAGTTTCATTTTTGAAATCTGGAGTATTTCTCTATGAAATTAAATATGAATCATTTTCCAGCTGAGGTAGAGGCATCGGGGGTTAACCTCACTTGCTAGAAGTCGTACAGCAAACCAAAGGCCCTGGCAAACATTGCTTTCCAGTGAGTGAATGAACTTATCAACATTCCCTTTTTCATATAGGCCTTCCATCCCAGATTTCAGAAACCCAGATGAACAGAATGGCCCCAGAGAATCACCAGCCAGATGCTTTTACCACCGTGAATGATTCCAGCATGAACTTGATACCACAGGATCCAGCTGGTCCCAGTGAGTATAACTCTTTGTCTTCCCTGCCCTTTTAGTGCCCCTTTTCTCATGGGGCCCTATAATTGCATTTTGCATTTGCTTTAAAGCAGCTTTTGATTGTTGTTATCTTATTTTTAAAAATCTATTTCAAAAATCTTCCCGTTATAAAATGGGAAGGTATAAATTTCAAGTGGGCCTTTGGCCCATGGTTGATTCAAATTTTGATAGATAATCTGAGAACACAAGATACAGAACAAGTGAGAATATTTTTTCTAAGAGAGGTCGGAAACATGAGCAGATAGAAATAGAGAAAACTCTTTTCCAGTGCAGGAACATTGTGGGCCAATATTGTGGGAAAATGGAAAAAAATAAGCTTATTTTATAGTGTAGTAGTGTATAAATGTATACAGAGATTTATTTACGTAAGTTGAATCATAGTGAATTATTCTGAAATATATATTTGTTATTTAATAATGTGCCCTGGATATTTCCCTGTGTTTGTACATATCTACCTTTTAAAAATACATAAAAAGTATTTGTGTATATAAAATATACAAATAACAGTTGTGTTTCTATACTCTAACAATTACCAATTCAAAAAGGAAATTAAGAAAATAATTCCATTTACAAGAGCATCAAAGATAATAAAATACTAAAGAATAAATTTAACCAAAGATGTGAAAGACTTGTACACTGAAAACTACAAAACATTGCTGAAAGAAACTAAAGACACAAATAAATGGAAAGACGCCCTGTGTGTACAGATTGGGAGACTTAATATTGTTAATATTGTTAAGATGTAAATGCCACCCAAGCAACCTACAAATTTAATGCAATCCCTATAAAAATCCCATCCGTGTTTTTTGCAGAAATAAGGAAAATGTATCTGGGCTGGCTGGTTAGTTCAACTGGTTAGTTCACAGTTCGGATCCCCAAACCAGAAAGCTGCAAAAAAAAAAAAGGTGGGGGGGAGATCTAAAAATTCATATGGAGACAATAGGTGTGGGGGGAAAAAAAGAAAAATTCATATGGAATCTCAAGATCTCAAACAGCCCAAACAATTTTTTAAAAGATAAAGTTGGAGGTCTCACACTTCCTAATTTCAAAACTTATTACAAATTACGGTAGTGAAACAAGGTGGTGCTCACCTAAAAACAGACATATAGAACAACAGAAATGAGCAGAGTCCAGAAGTACACCCTTACACATGTGGTCAAATGATTTTCGACAAAGTTGCCAAGACTACTCAGTGGGGAAAGGACAGTCTTTTCAACAGATGGTGTTAAGAAAACTGGACATCCACATGAAAAAGAATGTAGTTGGATCCTGTATTACTTCATTTTTGTGTTGCTATAATACCTGAGACTGTGTAATTTATACAGAAATGAGGTTTATTTGACTCACTATTCTGGGGCAGCTGCATCTGGTGTGGGCCTCAGGCTGCTTCCACTCATGGCAGAGGGTGGCAGGTAGCCAGAAAGGAAGTAAGAGAGAGAGAGAAGGCCCCAGACTCCTTTTAACAAACCAGTTCTCTTGAGAACTAATCCATTCCTGAGAGAACTCACCACTCACTACCCCCTCCCCACAGGGCATTAATCTTTTCACGAGGGATCTGCTCTGATAGAGTTTGGATATGTTGTCCCTCGCCAAAGCTCAGGTTGAAATCTGATCTCCAACTTGGCAATGTTGGGAGCAGTTTGGGTCTTGGGGGGTGGATCCTTCATGAATAGATTACTGCTGTCCCTGGGGGCAGGGGGGAATAGTGAGTGAGTTACTCCTCTACTAGTTCCCCAGAGAGCTGGTTATTTCAAGGATCCTGACACATACACCCTCCCTTCATCTTCCTACCTCCCTCCCTCCCTCTTGCCATGTGATCTTGCACCCGCTGGGTGCCTGCTTCTTTCTGCCATGAGTAGAAGCAGCCTGAGGCCAACACCAGATGCAGCTGTCCCAGAATCATGAGCCAAAAGTACCCAGTTTCAGACATTGTGTTATAGCAATAGAAAAACCCAAACACCTCCCAGCACTGCCATACTGGGGATCAGGTTTCAATATGAGCTTTGTGGGAACAAACATATCTAAAGTATACCATTCTTCAGACATTGTGTTATAGCAATAGAAAAACCCAAACACCTCCCAGCACTGCCATACTGGGGGTCAGGTTTCAATATGAGCTTTGTGGGAACAAACATATCTAAAGTATACCATTCCATCCCTGGCCCCCTAAAACTCATGTCCGTCTCATACACAGAATACAATTATTCCATTCCAATAGTCCCAATAGTCTTACCTGTTCCAGCACCAACTTAACAGTCTGAAGTCCAAGGTCTCATCTAAGACTCAAGACAAAACTATTTTCAGCTGTGTACGTGTAAAAATCAAAAATTCATCTACTTCCAAGATAACAATGGTGAAACAGACATCGGGTACACATTCCCATTCCAAAAGGGAGGAAGAGGCCCAAACAGGTCTGAAACCCAGCGGGGCAGACATTAAATCTTAAAGCTCCAAAATAATCTCCTCCTATTCCACATCCAGCATCTTGGGCGTGATGCAGTGTTTGGGCCCCCAAAGCCTCAGGCAGCCCTCGTGGTTGCACTGTTGCCTGCAGCTTTTCCAGGCAGGCACTGCAAATTGCCAATGGCTCTACACTTCTGGGGCCCTAGTGGCAGCCCTACTTCCATGGCTCTACTAAACATTGAGAGCCCTACCAGGGGCTCTCTGTGGGGGCCCTGACCCCACAATTCTGCTTTGTATTGCTCTAGTAGATTTCCTCTGCTGTGACTCTGTCCCTGTGGCAGATCTCTGCCTGTGCCCCCACACCTTTCCATATATTCTGTGGAATCTGGGTGGAGGCTGTCATTTCTCCACTGCTGTTGCATTCTGCTGGCCTGCACATGCCTTCACCCCATGTGGACACTGCCCAAAGCTTACCACTTGCCCTCCGTGGGCAAGGAGCAGTATAGGATGCAGGAAAGCTGCACCCAGGGTCTTTTCCTGGAACTATTTGGTCCTCCTAGGCATCTGGGTCTTTGGGAGGAGCAGCCTGGAAGACTTCTAAAATGCCTCTGGGCATTTCTATTGTCTTGGCTATTAGTGCCCAGCTGCCTCCTAGCCATGCTAATGTCTTTAGTGACTTGTCCCTCTGCTGCAACTTTGGATTCTTCTCCTGAAAATGCTCTCTCATTCTCTACCACATGGCCAGGCTACAAATTTTCCAAACTTTTATGCTCCTCTGCTTCCCTTTCAATTATAAATTCTGCCTTTTCTCTTATTTTACTGTATGCAATTAAGAGCATCCACCTAACACCTTCACTATTTTGCTTAGAAATTTCTTCTGCCAGATATCCCACTTCATAACTCCACCTCCCATAAAGCCCTAGGGCGTGGACACAATGCAGCAAAGTTCTTTGCTACAGTATAGTAAGGGTGACCTCTTCTCCAATTCCCAATAAATTCCCTCATTTCCATTTGAGACCTCATCAGCATGGCCTTTACTGTCCACATTTCTATCAGTACTTTGGTCACAACCATTTAACCAATCTCTAAGAAGTTCCAGCTCTTTTGTCTTTTTGTCTTCTTAATAGCCCTCCAAACTCCTCCAGCCTCAGCCCATTACCCAGTTCCAAACTTGCTTCCACATTTTCAGGTATCTGTATAGCAACACCCCACTCCGGGGTACCAATTTTCTGTGTTAGCTCATTTTTGTGTTGCTATAACAGAATACCTGAGACTGGATAATTTATAAGGAAAAGATGCTTATTTGTTTCATGATTCTGGGGCAGCTGTGTCTGGCATGGGCAACAGGCTACTTCCACTCATGGCAGAAAGTGGCAGGGCAGCCAGTGGATACAAGATGACATGTGAGAGGGGATGCAAGAGAGTGAGGGGGGAGGTACCAGGGTCCTTTTAACAATCTGTTAGAGCTCAGTCACTCCCCCTTCTCTAGGGAGGGCATTAATCTATTCATGAGGGATCCACCCCCATGACCCAAGCCACCTCCCAACACTGTCACACTGGGATCAGACTTCAACATGAGCACTGGGGAGATAAACATATCCAAACTATATCAGATCCATGCCTTGCCACATTACAAAAATTCACTCAAAATGGATCAAAGAGTTAAACATGAGAGCTAAAAGTTAAACATGAGAGCTAAAAGTGTAAAACTCTTAGAAGGAAACAGAGGGGGAAAGCTTTATGACATTGGGTTTACCAATCATTTCTTGGATATGATATCAAAGGCACAGGCAACAAAGTATAAAGAGATAAATTGAAATACATTAAAATTAAAATTTCTGTGTATCAAAGGACACAATCCACAGAGTGAAATGGCAACCTATGGGGTGGAAGAAAATATTTGCAAAAAATATATCTGATAAGGGGTTAAATATCCATTATATATAAATAACTCCTACAACTCAACAACAAAAAAATCCAATGAAAAATGTGCAAAGTAGGGCCATCCCATGGCTCACTTGGGAGTGTGTGGTGCTGATAATACCAAGGCCAAGGGTTAAGATCCCTATATAGGGATGGCCAGTTGGCTCACTTTGGAGAGCATGGTGCTGACAACACCAAGTCAAGGGTTAAGATCCCCTTAACCAGTCATCTTAAAAAATAATAATAATAATAAAATAAAAAATTTAAAAAATGGGCAAAGTACTTGAATAGATACTTCTCCAAAGAATATATACAAATAGAAAACAAACACATAAAAAGATGCTCTATTTCTAAACTCAAATTTATATTCTCATCCTTTGTTCCCTTACACAATAAAGTCACACTCAACTATACTGTATCTCACTTTATGTATTAATAAGATTGCAGCATGTTGTGAGGTTTAATTAGATAATAAAGCACTTTGAAATCCCCTCCCAAATAAAACAAAATAAATTCTTTAAATAATTTTTTAAATTTTTAAAAAAGAAATTTTTCAAATATCTTAGATAATTCTTCTTCCCAACTATGGGAATCAGCTTGTTAAGCTCCATAAAAATTTCTGAGATGTCGATTAGGATTACACTGAGGTTATATAGTTATTTGGGGAGGAAGGAGAACTGGCGTTTTTCTAATATCTGTTTTTTTTTTTTTGTCTTTTGTCTTTTTCCGTGTCCGGCAACGGATCGCAACCCTCAGTGTTGCCCCCGTACCGGGCCGGGGACCGGCAACGGGATTGCAACCCTCGGTGTTGCTCCCGTGCCTTGCTCAGCCAGTGAGCGGGAACCAGTCTGTATGTGGGATCCGAACCCTCGGGCGGGAGCGCCGCCGCGCTTCCCAAGCGGCGCACTATCCAGTGTGCCACCGGGCCGGCCCCTCTAATATCTGTTTTTTTAAAGAACATAATATGATTTTCTATTTATTCAGATCATTTATACCTTTTACCACAATATTATAGTTTATTTCATATAGGTCTTGCACATTTCATTTAGATATATTTTTAAGTATTCTATGTATTTTGAGGTTATAATGCATTGATTAGATCTTTTAAAATGTAATATTGGCAGCACATTTTACATTTGCTTTAAAGCAGCTATTAATAGTTGCATCTTAATGTTACATTCTTTTTTTTTTTTTTCTTTTTAAAGATGACCGGTAAGGGGATCTTAACCCTTGACTTGGTGTTGTCAGCACCATGCTCACCCAGTGAGCCACAGGCCGGCCCTCTTAATGTTAACATTCTTTCAATGTGTTCAACTGTTTTACACAATATTTTTTCAGTGGATTTTTCAGAGAAATGAACTTTTTTTTTTCCAAATAATGACACTTTTGCTTCTTTGTTATACAGCTTGTTTCTTATTTATATTTTGTTGCATTTACCAGGTACACCAGTTCAATACTGCACAGTACATATGATACAGGACATTTTTGCCTTTTATTTACTTTAATGGTAATGCTTTTAGTGTTCACTCTTTTGATGCAGAGCTCTTTTTTGGTTAAGAAAATGCCTTCCATTCATACCTGGCTATAATTTTCATCAGAAATGAGTGTTGAATTTCTAAATATTCTCTTCCATCTTTTGATATGATCATGAAGATTTTCTACAAGTGTTAATATAGTTGATTGTCTTATAAAATGTTCATTATTAAAATACAGAAAAGATCAAGGAATGCTACAGCAGATATATATAATCTTATCACCAAAAAGAAAAAGAAATCTGTTAACATATATACACATTTTTTCCAGCTGCTCCTTCCAATATCATGCTCTCTAAGTAAATCACACAATATATAACTTTGTCTCATTTATTAAAACATAAAATAAGATAATGGAGATAAAGCTAATGTGCTTGATGACCACTCCTATCAGAACCATTCCACTTCTCTTCTCTGACGTAGTCACTAAAATAGGTTTGGTATGATTTTTGTAGTCCAGTCTTTATATATTATATATACATAAACTATACTTTTGAGAGTTATAAAGAAAATTTTATTTCCTGTATCACATTACATAGGAAACTAATAAGAATTAATAAGAAAATAATAAGTAATATGGTTTTCAAGATTTGTTTTCTATACAACCATTTACATGTTTTAATTGGTAATATTTTCCTAACTTACAGTTGATGTGCAGAGGAGGTTAGCTATTATAAAATCAGTACACAGTGAGTTAATTATCAGAATTGTGATAATGTTATTACATAGCCTATGATCAATATAGTTTATAACTTTAAGTAAAAGGACTTCATTTTCAGTGACAAATAAAGTACTTGCAACTCAAAGTCTACCCTGCCTCCAGGCTTTTATCTTTCCTTATTTAATACGAAATCGACCTATAGATTTTTTCTTTAATTTTCATTTAAGCTGAGGCTGCAAATATTTTTGAGTGTGTAATTTTTATTTCCACAGTACCCCTGGTGAACAGAACGCCCCTCGTGACTCCTCACACTTTAATCGACATGGGTGAGTCCAGCATGCACTCGATGCCACAGGACCCAGCCAGTTCCTGTGAGTACAGATCCCCTCTGCCCTCCCTCTATTTTGTCCCTCTTCTGGGAGCCTCCTTGTCTTTCGAAAGAGGGGTAGTCAAGGTTCGAATAAAAGAGAATAACTAGAAGGACTAAATACCTTGTATGTTTGTCATGTTTGATCGTGACGGGTTTTCCTGGAATACAGTGAGGCTGGAGGGAAGGAAGGGCTGGTGCACTTGCCGTTCTTGGTAGCCCGATGTCTCACTCTTCTGTCGTTGCAGTAGCGTTACTTCTTTGTGTCTGAGAGTCCAGGTTTGTCTTCTGCGTCCAGCCATGGTTCCCAACCACTTCATGGTCTTTGTCTTTCAAGGTGTTGATGTCATCACTTTATTTTTCCTCTTTTTAACCTTATTTTAAAAATTCTTTATTATAAAAATCTTTAGGAATAGGTCATCTAAAAAACAGTTATATTGAATGTACTCATACCCACCAATCAGCTTTGACTATTGTCATTATATGCGACGCACCTATGTTAAGACAGCCCATTTGCTATTTTATGAGATCTGCCAGCCCTAGAAACCCAGGCACTTGAAGCCTCTCTCCGCTTCTTCCAGCTGCACACTTTGGTGGACATAGTTTCTGCTCATAAATGTTCCATCTCCGGGTGGATGGGTCCCAGTCTTTTTAGAACAAATAATTGCCAAAGATTACATTTTATTTAACTATTTAAAACATTTTTTACTAGGAAATTTCAAATGTGAATATGAATATACCACATTTTGTATGTCCATTGAACAGTAAGAACATTTGGATTGTTATGAGTTTCAGGCTAGTATGAAGAATGCTGCTACAAATAGTGGCATCCATGTCTTTGCAAGAACACATGCTCTTATTTCTCTGGGGTAGATTCCTAGGACTGGAATTGCCAGGTTATGCAGTAAGTTTTTTTTGAAGCAACTGCCAAACTGTTTTTCAAAGTGGCTACACCATTTTATATTCCTTCCAGCAATGTATGAGGATTCCAATTTCCCCATATTCCTCCACATGCCCATTAATATATTTTCTTTGATAAAATGTTTATTCACATTCTTTGTCCATTTTTATATTTATTTATTTATTTATTTATTTTTAAAAAGATGACCGGTAAGGGGATCTTAATCTTCACTTGGTGTTGTCAGCACCACGCTCTCCCAGGCGAGCCACCGGCCATCTCTATGTAGGGGTCCAAACTCGTGGCCTTGGTGTTATCAGCACCACACTCTCCCGAGTGAGCCATGCACCAGCCTTTTTTTCCTTCATTTCTTGATGATTTAAAAACATTTTCCTTCCTTTTACCTTTTCTTGTCTTTTAGTCATCATTTTTATGTCCTATTTAAATTAATCTTTTTAAATGTGATTTTAATTTTAATCATTTAATTTAATTTTAATCATTTTTAAATGATTTTTCTTTTATTTCTAATTCTTTAATGAGAAGAATTTCAGTGAATTTTGTCACTTTTTCAAGTCTTTTTCTCCAAACACCTCATTTCTTATTTTTTAAATTCTTATTGTGGTTTTTGTTTTTTTGGCTTGTATCATTTTCTTAATTTCTTCTTGCTCTACTTTATTTTGAAATTTAGGTTAGAGTTCTCACATGTTTTGTGGGCACATCTGGAATGTTTTCATGATCTGTAGGGACTTGATTCTGCTTCCTGTTTTCCTTTTTAGTAACTGTGATCCTTTCTGTTGTGCATTTTTGG